GGGGGGGGGGGGGTTGTTTGCGTACCAGCTTGCCGTTGCAGACCACGGCCATGACGGAGAGCGGGCGGATGCCGTGGGCTTGCGGGTCGAAGGTCTTCCAGCCGCTCTTGGAGCCCTCGTTGCCGAAGACGACGTAGGGGTGCACGTTGGCGTTGAGGTCCTTGATGCCCTTGTTGTAGTCCTTGATGATCCACTCGAAGGAGGTGATGGTACTGGGTGTCGCCGCTGCTCTCGCACCGCCCGTCGTCGCCGCGCCCGTTCTGCTCCCCGTCGCAGTCCACGTCCATGTCGGCGAAGGCGCTGCCCGTGCCCTATGATGTAGATCACGTTGTAGTCGGCTTTGTGGTCGCCGCAGTACGAGAAGGCTGGCGGGGTGTGTGGTGTTAGGGTCTTTGAACTGGCGATGTGGGTGAAGGAAGTCTGGTTCAAACTTACTGTTCGGGCCATTGTCCTTGCTGTAGAAGCCCGTAGCGAGCTTGTTGGAGCAGGTGCCCTTGGCCTTGAGCGAGTCGTAAAAGTTCTTGATGTTGGAGGGGATGTCCCGGGCAGACACGCTGGCCGCGCCCACGAGGGCCGACAGCAGGAGGCGGTTGTGCATGTTGGGTGAGAGATAACCGACGAAGAACCCCGGGGTGTGAAGGAGCTGGGAAGAAAAGACATCGGCCCTGCGGCAGCCTCCTTTACTTATACTACGCCTCTTCCATCAGACTCTCTTCCGTCTCTGTTCCCTCCGCAAGGCTCCCGGAGGCCTGGTAGCGTTGCATTCTCGGCCCATCCCTTTGCCGTCGGCCCTTCAATTTGCGCTCGTTGGCTGCCCGGCCGATTCCGGAGCAGTCTCGACTACTGCGGTAGAGTTTGCTGTCTAACTTCAAAGAGAAATGTAAACGGAAAGCTAGAGGCACAGCGGTGGCTCTCCTGGATTCTTGTCAGAGGCCTCATACGGCTATCCGGCCAAGAGAGCTCCATATTTCCGTGGCCACCTTACGATGAGGGTGCCGGGAGCTCTTCCGGCACCTTGCACCTCCCGATTTGGGTTACCCCGTAACCCGCAACGGTCAATAGAAAACCCACCACTGCACGCAGTAGCGCATTACGATGGTTCGTGATGGTTATGGGTGGATCAGCTGCGGTGGAGATTAACCCACATTCAGGGGTAGCTGACCGCGGCCATTCCTTTAGGGAAGGGGTGGGCTGTCTCCTCTCAGGATCTCGAATCACATGTGAAAGACTGTGCCTCGTACGATGTGAGAGTATTGACACCTTTGGGTGTGACAATGCATGTACTGCGTAATACGGGGGCACCGACTGGCTTGTCCCGGTATACAGTTCGCCGCGCCGGGCCGAGTGGGGGCGGGAAGCTTATTTCACATGCAAGGCTAAGGAGACAGCTGTCTGTTCTGGGCGTTTTGTGTTCCCAATAATTAGCTGACAGGCTGTTGGATTCAGTGTTGGCCGAAGACTACTAAAAAGCTGCTTGGTGAGATTCGTGGCTTTGTTGGCGGGAGTCGGAGCTTGACGGAACCCCTGGTGGGCCGGTGGAAACGTTGTAACTCGCGCGGGAGCAACACGAAAGTCCCTGTGGATGAATTAAGCTTGCCATTCGCAAGGATTCGCATGCCAATTTGGGAACCGAAACCGACTTCGGTGTGGGAATGAGCACTGAGTTGAACACCTAAAAGTAAGGTAACCCACAACCAACCACCATGGTTTCAGACGCCGTCTTGTTTCATATTACGAAATGAGATGTAACCTGAGAGTTGAACCCCGCACGGCAAACAGTTCAACAACTTCTACTGACTGTCAACTGTGATACTTTGCAGATTGAAACTTGACTTGACTAGAATTACCGAAATTTGTGCAATGACTGGGACGCAATCCTCACGAGTGGTTTAGAAGTCTGATAAAGCCGAGGTCTTTCCGGTTAAGAGTCAAAAGTTGGAAACCCATCTCCACCCCCTGATTATGTTGGCCGGGGTAACTTTACGAATCCTTCAGGCCATCGTGGAGGTATGAAGAGGCACAAGTTCGAAAATGCCTCAACTCTGAGGATCCGGTCTGGCCAATAATTCCGGAGCGGCAATACGCATCACTTTTGATATACTATGAAGACGAACCTCGTTTTGTCTCCCGTACCTCTCCTGGGATAGGAATCATGGGATTCTTAGCCTAGAAACGTCGGCGTGTAAGCTCTCGCGATGCTTTCCCATTATCAAGATCCAGAGCTAACTCAGACTGGCAAGCGAAAGGACCCTGATTCGCTCATGGCGTTGTCAGTGCCCTCCCGAGCCGAGCCCCGAGCCGGCCACACTACCTAATCGGCGCTGTGGAATGCCGAGTTACTCCCGCCCCGATAGCCGGCCCGGGAATTCAACCGTGACACCTAGCAATCTTGAAATCACGTAGTTTGCCCAAGTTATATTGTTTACACGGCACTCGTTTAACTAAAAAGTCAGCATTCAGTCTGTGGATTCGTTTTAATCCGATCATCTGCATTTGCGCTTCGACCAAACGTTTCCTGACTCGACTGGACTCTCCGTGTATGTCATGGGGCATGTGTATTTAATGTTTTACCATCACCACTCTCTCACACGACTTTAGCAATCCCCCGAAAACCTAGGTAGATAGTAGTTGGTCGGGTTTTTGGGCGCTTAGTAATAGCCTCCGAGAGACGCGTCACATAACTAGTGTGGTAGAAGTGATGAATTCTCCTACAACGTCCTAGTGTTGCGTAGTGGTGTTAGTAAGCACCATCATGACGAAATGAATGTGTCATTCATTGTCCATACAAACCTATCAGAAACGGATATGCTTAGAAATACTTTGGACGATCCATGACTCGAAGTCGATTCAAAACCTAGGTATAAAGAGTTAGAATGGAAGCTAGCATCTTGAGAAAAGGATCATCCGAGTTGCATAACTTGCATTATCTTGACTACCCCAAGAATTCAGTCTCTCGACTTCCGTTCGTCGAATACACAAGTTTGACCATCATGACCTCCGCTACCAATGACCCCATCGCCGAGCACGGCTGGACTGCCGTCCCCTTGGACCCTGAAGCCATCTTCCAAGGCAAACCATACCTCCACGAACCAGGCCCCATCCTCGTCAAAGACATCCATTTTCCGTCCAACGATCCCATCGTAGCCAAAGCCCAGCAATACGCAAAAGAGCACCTCCCGGCCCAGACATTCAACCACTCCATGCGCGTCTTCACTGGGGGTAACCCCCCCCCCCCTTCCCCCCTTTCTGCCCCAACCCCAATCCAACCTACCTGGAAAGCAAAGCAATGCCAGACACACATAACTAACCACCCCCCGCCACCCACCCAGAGCCACCGCAATCCTCCGTCAGCAATTCCCCTTC